GTCGCCACTTAGTGCTAGTGCTCAGCGCGCGGAAAAGCGTTCGCGCGGGGCTTTAAACTCTCATTTTTAAAGGTTTGAAGAGGGACAACTGTTAATAACTGACTCCAAAGGCCGTATATGGAACTGTAATGCCGTGTGTGTGTGAATGATAAACCAGTTTTCAAGAGTAAACAGCAAATTCTGAGCCTGAAAACCTCACTCAGAAAAGAATGGAAATGAGGTAAAACGGAAAATGTTGTTGGTAGAGAACAATAAACTCAAAGTGCTTTCCTTTCCAAGTTGACGCCCAAGTTGGACCGTCCTAAAGGTTTACAGTACACGAGTTCGTTGTATATATAACACATAGGCTAGCAAGGAAAAAAAAACAAAAGCTTACACTTTGGGATAACTACTCTGAGGAATCATGGAGAACTATGTGAGGTAATAGCTCACATAAAATGTTAATTACGAAGCAGTCGCTGCAAAATGTTTAAGTTTGAAACCAGAAAAAAATAGAAACCTTTTCTATAAAGGTTTGGAGTTGGACTAAAACTTTTCAGATGACTCTGAGTCTTACCCAGCTATTTGGATTTCAATTAATGGGCACGTACTTGAAATTATATACAATTTTTGCCACCCCCGCCCCTGAGAGTGTCAATAGCTTCTTTTGCTGTTAAAGCGAAATCCTCGAAGGATTATGAATTAGCAGGTGGTGGACACTAATTGTATTTCTCCGGATCTTTCCTAAATCATAGAGATGGGTAGGTGGGGCTCTAGGCTTTTTTTTTTTTTTTTTTTTTTTTTTTTTTTTTTTTTAGGTTTTTCCTAAGGCTCCAGAGATTTTCAGGAGTCCAGGGCAAGTTAATGCAGTCACTGCAATCTATTGAATGAATCCAGCTGTCAACAAAGCACCAGGTGACTGAAATGAAAGACTCAAGCTGGGAGAACACTGATGTGGGACAGGCATCCTAGAGGCAGGAGCAAGCTGCAGCCCTCAGTATTGACCATCTATTGATTGGAGGCCGCTGTGACTGAAGTGGGCAAGGTCGTGATAGCTGGAAATTAACTCCTGGGCACCCTTTGTTCCCGCCCACTTCGGCAGGGTAGGTGCCTTAGGTGACTCAGTGCCCTTCTCCTCCAGCTGCAAGTTAACAGCTTTTCCCTAGTTGATTCCATTTTAAAATCAGAAAGAAAAGGTCTCAGTATGGGGCTCTGGCTGTCCTGGGACTCACTATACAGGTCAGGCTGGCCTTGAATTCACTGACATCCGCTTGCCACTGCCTTCTGAGGGTTGGAATTCAAAGGATCGGGTTACTAAACAGGGTTTTAACGCATTGTACGCACACAGATTTAACTAATCAGGGCCCTCCTGGCTCTATAGCAGAAGGGCTTCAAGTTTGGCAGATTGCTCTTCAGAGGAAGAAAATTGGACTGGAGGGTGCAGCCAGCTTCTAGATGCGCTTGGAGAAAGAATACTGCCTTCAAGGGTGCAGACCCTTGGGAGCTTCGCCATGTTCCAGCCTTCTCAGCTTCCAGAGTTCATGCTTTGGCTGTAGATGAAAATTTATTCCTGCAGCTGTCTCCAACCCTGAAATGCAGCCAGTGACTTTTGACCCTTGCTTCTATACCTGCCTTAATTTTATTAGTGACCTGCAGTTTGCTGATTTAATTGCAAGGTTGGCACCCCAAAGTTTTCCTAGAGTGTTCAGCCAGTACTTGCAGCCTGCTGAGAGCCGAGCAGAGCCAACCTCTCCAGTCGGCATTCTGCTGCCACCAAGTCTTTTTTTTTCTTTTTTCTTTTTTTTTAAAAAAAAACATTTATCTTTTATGTATACAGTGTTTCACTTTCATGTATGCCTGCAAGCCAGAAGAGGGCACCAGATCTTGAGGATGGTTGTGAGCCACCATGTGGTTGCTGGGAATTGAACTCAGGACCTCTGGAAGAGCAGACAGTGCTCTTAATCTTTGAGCCATCTCTCCAGCCCTGCCACCAAGTCTTAATCCCTATTTCCTGTTGAATTGTCCAGGCATGGCAAGAACCCAAAGAACAGACTGTCTCAGTATTGTTTGGGATCCCTCCTAACCAGCCTATCTGGCTTCTTAACACCGTGGGTAATTGTCTACTCAGAATTCAAACATGTGTTTCTGAAAGAGTCTCACAAGACTTAAGAGGCTCATGACAGACCCAAGGTTATAGAAGCAGGCAACAGTTTTATCAGAAGAGACTGCAGATGTGCAGGGAGCTTTTGGGAGTGGACTTTTTGGAGATTCAACTATCATTGTGTCACCCATGTTTCCAGAAAGTTAAGTCTGATAAACTCATTGCTTCACTAACCAAATGGAATACTCTTTAGTCCACTGTCAGTGCCTTGTCTACAGTGAACAGATGTGTTCCTTTCCCCAGGAAGTCACACAGAAGATGCTTATTTACCTACCAGGCTGTTCTTTCCATTAGTCTTTTTTTTTTCTCTTGGTTTTTCGAGACAAGGTCTCTCTGTGTATGCTGGGCTGTCCTGAAAACTCATTCTGTAGACTAGGCTGGCCTCAACTCACAGAGATCCACCTGTCTCTGCTTCCTCAGTGCTGGGATTAAAGGAATGCACCTAGCTGGGCGGTGGTGGTGCACGCCTTCAATCCCAGCACTTGGGAGGCAGAGGCAGGCGGATCTCAATGAATTCAAGGACAGCCAGGACTGTTACACAGAGAAACCCTGTCTTGGAAAAAAATAAAACAAAAACAAAATAAAACAAAAGCATGCACCACCAGCACCTGGTCTTTTCTAGGTTTTTCTTCAAACAGTTAACTAAAAAGCTAAGGGGGAAAAAAAAAGACACAGTTAACTGTATTTGTAATATATCCTTTATAACACTTCAAAGGCAAATTTTAATTTCAAACCAGTATTTTTAAAAGTATACTTTAAAACTCAATCAAGTTTTTGGAGCCTGCATAGGGTAGAGAGTTCAGGCCCCATATTTATTGTCTTATATAAACAGGAAAGACAACAATAGTAAAATGCAGCTATTATGAAAGATGAATCATTATACACACATTAGAGGGCTGCTTCCTGTCTCTGCATTGACAATGGTAGTGGAGAATTAGCCACTAACTTCTTTCTTTTTGATTTGAGACAGTCCATGTAATCCCAGCTACCTTTGGGGGATGACCTTGAACTTCTGATTTTCTTTCGATAACCTCCCAGGTCCTGGGATTACAGGGATGTAGCACCACAATGACTTTCTTTAGAGGTGCTGGAGATAGTACTCAGGGTTTTGCACATTTTAGGCAAGCCCTCTCCCAACTGAGCTATATCCCCAGCTCTCTACAATTTCATTCACACTGTTTATGACACAATAGTAAGACACTAAATAAAAAACAAAACAAAACCCAACAAGAAAGTCTTTGATCAATCATTCATTTTCAAGCCCCTACATGGGAAGTAGTAGGTGAGTATCTGTAGGAATATAATTTGTTGTCTGCTCCTCCACTCAGAAGTAGCTGTGTAAAGAGAGAGAGAAAAGTAAATATAAATATACAGTAGCTAGACATGACTAAATATGACTTTGATTTTATTTTGGTTATTTGACACAGGGTTTCTCTGTGTAGCTCCAGCTGTCCATGAACTTACTCTGTAGACCAGGCTGGCCTCAAACTCACAGAGATCCACCTGCCTCTGCCTCCCCAGTGATGGGATTAAAGGTGTGTGCCACCACTACCTGGCAAAATATTGTTCACACAGTATGTATATATTGTACTTTGATCATATTTTCCATCTATACCCTCTTTGCTTCTTCCCAAACAGTTTTGCTTCTACTTTGATGTCATATACATATCCCCAATCCAAAGATCTGCAATGTAGGTTGGAGGTGTAGCTCACAGGTGGAGCACATGCTGAGCACACGTAAGACTCTGGGCCAACTTTAATGATGTAAAGATATGTTGCTTTGCCTGCTCTAGGTGCCTGATTGGTCTAATAAAAAGCTTAAAGGGCCAATAGCTAGGCAGTAGAAACAAAAAGGAAGTTCACATTTCTATCTGGGTCTCATTCTAAGATATTTCATAAGTGTGCAAATATTCCAAAGTCTGAAATGCTTTTGGTCCAAAGCATTTCGGATAAGGGATGCTCAATCTGCTTACTATACAGTATATAAAATATTAAAAGCAATCAGTCATTTTGGTTGAGACATAGTATGCTATTGTACTTCCAATGAAGTTATTTGCCAAGGTATATAATAAACTAAAATAGTTTTATCCTTTTAAAAAACAAAGGCTTCATTTGCTTTTTGAAGGCAGTTTTTACACTAAACTATCCTCAAATTTGCAGCACTCTTCCTGCTTCAGCCTCCCGATGGGATAACGGGTGTGAGCTACCACACTCAGAAATAAACCAAGTTTTTAAAAGAATGTATTTGCAAGCAAATATACACTGTAAATTATGCCACGTAGCTCTAGGACCTATATCCTGAAAGAATTCTTGGGCAACAAGATTATATAAGCACATAAAAATGATTATAATTTTTAAAGTATATTTTATAATCCATATTTATTATGTAAAATAAATTATATAAGCTTAGTTATGTAAAATACACCTGCAATTTTAGCACTCAGGAGGCTGAGGTAGGAAGGCTGCTGGGAGATCAAGGCCAACCAGGGATACATATGAAGACCTGGTCTCACAAAAACAAAACACAAAACAAAAAAAACCTAAAACGGCTATTTCAAACTACAAATACTGTGATACCATCAATGTGAAGTAGTAAATTTATGGATCATATGGGATTTGTAAATAATTTCTCATTAAGATATTCATGAGGTACCTGGGCCAACACAGGTCTAACACCAACTACTAAGAAGGATGAGGCAGCAGATCACAAATTTAAGGTCTGCCTGCTGGAGTAAATTCCAAGCTAGCCTGGGCAACTCTAATATCCTATCTCAAAAGAAGAAAAAGGGCTAGTGTACTGGTTCATGCCTATAACCCCAGCATTTGAGAAGTGGATATAGGAGAATTAGTTCAAGGTTATCTTCAGCTATACAATCTAATCAAAACTCAAAGACAGCCTGGCCCCATGAGACCCTATATCAAAAAGAGGAAAGGAAAAAAACAAAACAGAAATAGTGAGAAGCTTGGGGTTCAGTTCCCAGGACTACCAAAATGTAAAATGATATTGGGGGTGGGGGAAGACCTGTTTTAAAATTTTCAATTTTTATTATACTTAAAATAATTAAAGAGCAAATCTGTTTTTAGTTTTTTGGTATGGGATGTAAAAATTATAAAAATCAGAAATGATAAAACTTCTAACTTTAAACTGGGCAGTGATAGCACACACCTTTAATTCCGGCACTCAGGAAGGAGGCAGAGACAGGCAGATCTCTGAATTTGAAGCCAACAGGGTCTACAGAGTGAGTTCCAGACAACCAGAGGAAAAAACGAACCAAATCCAAAGATCTTGTTAACTTTAAACATCAGGTCTATCCTCCTTTTTTTTTTCACCAAGTAACTTGTAAATTCTTACCCCTGTGTCTGTCCAGTCCACAGTTAGAACTTTATCTTCATGAGCAGCTAGATCATAGAGAGGAGCCTTAGAACTAAAGATGAAAACACACAGGTCAAGCGCATTCAGTGTTTAAATACACACATATGAGTATTATTAATACTTTTCTCAAAACTTTTGCCGGATTTTACTGCAGATGTATTATACAAACACTCAAGAAAAATGCATTCAGATACAAAAATATTCACTATAAGACCTGTTTCATACTTCTACACTTCATATTTTTATTTCAAACCTTTCCCTTGAGTTTGATATATATCTTGAGTGTCTATATATCTAAATACATGAAAGTCAGTGGGCAACAGACACTATCAAATCAAAACTCTCAAATTTCTCTCATAAACCTATTTTCCTAAAATAAAAACCAATTATTTTTGAGTATGGGTGTTTGCCTGTATATATGCATCATATATTCATGCAGTGCCAAGAGAGGCCAAAGATCCAGATTTGGAGTCCCCTCTGGGATTGGATGGTTGTAGGCTACCATGTGGGAGCTGGGAGCTGAACCCAGGTTTTCTGCAAGAGCAGCCATTACTCTTAATCACTGAGTCACTTCTCCAGTCCCATATTTTCACACTTTTTCTTATCACAGTACACAGCATTACCATACACTTTATTACTCAAGTAGAAAATGTGGGCAATTCTCTTTGATTCCCATCTCCACAGCTAATCCAGAAGAAATTAATCTTGCCAAAGACCTAAATTCAACATATAGCTAGAACAAAATCACTTATCCCGGATACTACCACCACATTCTATGCTCCCTGACCTGTCTCTTGAATAACAATGATCTTTCAGCTTCTATTCTTTTTTTTAAAGATTTTATTTATTTTGTACACAACATTCTGCTTCCATGTATGTCTGCACACCAGAAGAGGGCACCAGATCTCGCTGGGAATTGAACTCAGGACCTCTGGAAGAGCAATCAGTGCTATTAACCTCTGGGCCATCTCTCCAGCCCCCTCAGCTTATATTCTTGGTCCCTTGATAAAACCCCCAGAGCCTTGCCAAGTCCTGCTTGACATGTACACACCTTCAAAATGTGCGATTTGCTACTAAAATTTCTTCAAAGAGAAAGTCTTGCTATTACCAGAAACTGTTAATTAAATAAAAAGTCAATTAAGACATCTAAGCCCTCTAAGATAAAGTGTTTGAGGGCAGATTTAAGGTAAAAAAGATACACAAATGGGTACGCAGTTAAAGTTGCCTCTTCTAACTATAAGTTATGGGTATGTTTTAACCTAGACATTCTGTATATACTAGTATCACAGTATTAGCCTATGAATAAGATTCCTCTGGCATCTAATTATCTTCGAAGATACATATTTTTATTACATCTTTCATTAACAGAATTTCTATTAAAGTTCTGGATAATTAAAACTTTTTCTCCTGCTTTATAAAAAGGTCAGAAAGATGGATTTTATAAACAGAAGTAAAAATATGTAGTGATATTTTATCTATGATCTAACAAATAAAGCTTGCCTAAAGATCAGAATGCAAAGCTAGCCATACTATTTTGCCATAAAAGCTGGGCAGTGGTGATGCACGCGGTTAATCCCAGCACTAGAGAGGAATATAAGGCGGCCGAGACAGGAGTGCAGTGTATTCAGTCAGCAGTCATGCTGAGGACAGCATCACCCCAGCCATGGTAGAGGTGAGAACTCTCTAATGGCTGGCTGCTTTGCTTTTCTGATCTTCAGCTTGAACCCCATTATCTGGCTCTGGGTTTTTATTGTTTGTGCTACAAAAATAAGGAACAAAAACATATTACTATTAACATGAATAAAATGCCTTTGTTCCTGGGCTTTGTAAGTATATCTGTGTGCACATGCATGTGTCTGCATGTGTATACAGAACCACATGTATGTAGGTAAAAGAACAACCCTGGGTTTATTCCTCAGGTGCTGTCTACCTGTTTTCTTTTGAGACAAGGTCTCTCACTAGCCTGAGACTAAGTAAGCTAGGCTAGCTAGCTAGCAGTTCCCTGGTATTCCCATGTCTTGTTTCTCCAATCTTGTTTCTCAGATTACCAGCACACCTGCCATTATTCTCTTTGTTTATTTGGATTCATGCAAAGCAAATACTTTACTTACTGAGCTATGCCTGCAGCCCAATCCTGGAAATTTTTTTGAGTATTAGTATTTGTCATGTCAGGTAGTATGAATGAAACCTGGGTCTCTTGGGAGAACAGCCAGTGCTTTTAACGGTTAAACCATGCTTCCAATCCCAACATTTACCTTCTTGTATCCCACAGCTTGACAATGTTATCTAAAGAGCCTGAAATCAGCTGCTGTTCATGGGTAGGAGACCACTTCACTGATGTAACCCAGCCTGTATGTGAGGTGAGGGACAGCGACACCAAAGAACCATCTAAATGAAAAAGAAAATGCAGTGGATTTTTAGGAAAGAGAAGCAGAACATACCTAAAGAATATTTGTAGAAACTTATATTCCCCACTGGATACAACATACCTTTAGTTCGGGGATCCCAGAGTCTAATATGCCTGTCTGTGCTTCCAGATGCCAAACGTTTACAAAGGGGAGAATAGGAAATACAATTAAACACTTTATTTCCTGTCTGAAAATAAAAGGAAAGAACATTTAACCATAGAGGGCTGAAAAGTAACCACCTTTAGAAATTTATTACTGAAAAGACCAATGTTAATCAAAGGAACACCAAATTAAGTCTTACCAAAGTTGACTTAAGACCACCAGACTCAGCATCCCATATTCTAATTGTGTGATCCCAAGATGCACTGCAGATTTCTTCAACATCTGACCAAAGTACTGAGGAAATTGCTTCTGTGTGGCCAGAGAGGGTCACCAAGGGAGTCTAGAAATGAAAGGTCCCCAAAAGGGAAAAACATTTTCACCAGAGTTACTGAAACAAGAGCAGATTTTAGGGTCAGGTGTGGTGGTGCACACCTTTATCCCAGCGCTCAGGAGGCAGGGGCAGGTAGATCCAAGTTCCAGGCCAGCCCGGGATTATTTTGTTTTTTATAGTAATCCTCCAAGACAGATATTTGTCTTTATTTTACATAAGAAGGGGCTCAGTAGATGAAAGTGTCAGCTGTCAAGGCTGATTGATCTAAGTTTAGTCAAGGGACCCATTGCAGGGCTGATAAAAGAGGAGGCCAGAAGAGTGCATCAGATCCTCTGGATCTGCAGTTACAGGAAATTGTGAGCTGCCATTTGGGACTGAGAAATGAAGCTGGGTCCTCCAGAAGAACAGCTAGTATTCTTAACTGCTGAACCATTTCTCCAGGCCCATCTTATTTTCAACACTTTTTATATGCATGCTAGTGATGAATACAACATCTAATGCATGGTCATATACTCAATGGCATAGCTGACTCAGCATTTCCCTTTCCATTAAATAAAAGAGGTTAGATCACATAACAAACATCTTTATAACTAAACAGGTTCAAAGTCAGGCTCATGAAAGCAGACAGTAGAATAGTAATTGCCAGATTTGGCAGAAACAGAAAAATGAGAAAATTAAAGATCTAGTGTACCATGGGTGGTGATGGATATAGCAATTTGAACATGATAATCATTATGTGTAAAGTGTGTTTAATTACATCAAATATATTCAATCATTGTCAGTTAGATTTAAGGTGTAAGAAAAAAAAAAAAGCCAGGTATAGTGATGCATACTCGAATGCCAGCAACCAGAAAGCTGAAACACTGCTGTTAAGGTTGAGACTAGCTCAAGCCAGTGAGTTCCAAGTCTACCTAAGCTACACAGCAAGAGTCTGTCTCAAACTAAACCAACAAACCTTGTTTAATGAGATCTAACTGCTAGATGATAGAATTAAACTTCACATTAATGATTTCTAGTGATTCAGGATTCAACTAGCAGCTTAGCAGCTCTAAAATGAGTTTTACCTTCAGTATATGAAATAGTATTAAACAGATAATTACTGTCATGTTAATGATTAAAATGTACCATGACAGTCCTACCACTCTGTAAGCTTGATTCAAAGTCTCAGAAAAATGTAGCAACAGTATATACAGAAAGCAAGCATAATCATGGTTGAAGCTACAAAATAGAAGAGAATATAAACAAACAAAAATGTGTGTGTGAATAGCTGGCTCAGCAGTTAAGAGCACTGACTGCTCCTCAGAGGACTGGGATTCAATTTCCAGGACACACATGGTAGCTTACAATTGTCTATGACTCTACAGTTCCAGGGGACCCAACACCCTTACATAGGCAAAACACCAATGCACATAAAAATAAAATTAAAAAGACTGCTGAAATATTTTATTTTCATCAAACATACCAAACCCAAATACAGTCAATTCTCACCCTTTAACAGACAGAGACCATAACAGAAATGCAGAAAATAACTGGCCATAGGTGGCCAGCCCCAACACAACACAACACAACACAACACAACTCCTGCACCTAAGGCTCAGGGAACTTTGTAGAAGAGCGATCAAAAGATTGTTAAGAACCCAAGGACCAGGAAATCTGCTGTGAGACTGTCTCTCTTAAAAATGACAAGGAAGCGTCATCAATAATAGCCTCAACGTGGCTGCCTAAAGAAGACCTGAACAAGAACACTGTCAATAGCCATGCTAACATGGAAGGTGGAAATCTCATGAGGCCTCACCCCTAGACAAAGAACTACGTGCAACTAAGGAATGCTGAAAGTGGGAGAAGTTTTCTCTTCTAGAGATGAACTCCCTAATTAGTTATCCAATATCAAGTGGTCAGTTCTGAAATCAAATATGTACAAGAAACACTAAAGGGACTCATCAGGTTGTATTATATTTATGCATTTATACACATATAGGTAACAAAAACAAAGAAACAAAACAGAGGCCAGGAATTTGGGGGGGGGGATATATACACGGAGGGAGATGGAGGTTGGATAGGGAAGGGAGAAAATAATTTTATTTTAATTAAAATAAAAACAAACTTACCCTGGTTAGTCCCAATTGCTCTGTTTTCTGCTTCTTTCTTGGCCGATTTGTGGATTCTTCCATTTCATCTTCTTCATCTGTAGGGACTGTATCATAGAGAATAATATTAAATATTGAAAAATTTAGTCAATATTAGTGGTAAACTACAAGAACGTCCTATATTCTGGGTACACAGTTTTCTTTCTTTTTTTCACTTAGTAGGGAATGTATATTCCTTGTTGTTTTGGCTATCACAAAACTGTATATAAGCATCTTATGTGACCTCTGGAGGACTATAATTCAGTGGTAAAGCGCCTGACCAGCATGCACATGGCACTAGACTCAACCCATAGTAGCACCCAAAGCAAAAACATTTCCATGGACAAGGACTTTTTAAAAAGCATATTAAAAAAATCTCAAAATTAAGCAGTTGGAAATCTTCCTCTGTTTTTATGGTCATTGTTATAAATATTGACCATTTCATAATTATGGAAAGCTGCTTCCAGTTTAATCCAGACTAAGTTACTATGATTATACTGTATTTATGCCATGCAGGAAATAAGGTAAACACAGGTTAAAAGATATACTTTGGCACCCTAAATGCCCTTCCCCTATGAGACCCATGACTACTTTATATGCCATCCTAGAGCCCTCATCCAGTGGCTGATAGAAGCAGAGGCAGACACCCACAGATATACACTGAACTGAACTTGGGAACCCAGTTGCAGAGAGGGAGGAATGAAGACAAGGCTGGGGAAACCCACAGAAACAGCTGGCCTGAACAAGGGGGAGCACATGCACCCCACACTGCTGTCTGGGAGGCCAGCACGGGACTGATCCAGACCCCTGAACATGGATGTCAATGAGGAGGCCTCGGCACTCTAGGGGCCCCCTGGTGGTGGATTAGTATTTTTCCCTAGTGTAAGAAGGGATTTTGAGAGCCCATCCCACATGAAGGGATGCTCTCTTGGTCTGGACACATGGGAGAGGGCCTAGGCCCGGCCCAGGATGATGTGGGAGACTTTGGGGAGCCTCCATTGAGGGCCCTACCCTGCCTGGAGAGTGGAGGAGGGATGGGGCGGGGACAGGTGGGGCTGGGGAGAGAGGAGAGGGAGAGGGAGAGGGAGAAGGGATTGACATGTGAAGCAAGCTTGTTCCTAATTTGAACTAATAAAAAAATTACGTCAAAAAAAAAAAAAAAAAAAAAGAGATGTACTTTGGCTATGTTTAATCTCATGATTTCCTTTTATAAATATGAAAAATCCTTCATAGTTGTTTTGTGGTGCTAGAGATCAAAGCCAGAGCCAGGCAAGCACTTTATCACTGAGTTATACTTCCAGGTTCTTGGATATTTTTTCTTTTTTTTTAGTTTGAAAATATCTTTGTTATAAACATCATTTAGTTAGGTTAAGATTGATCCTATAGATTTTTAATATTTTGTACCTTTCATGAATATTGATTTACCTTTTCCTAACTAGATTATAAATCCCTTAACAGTGATAGCTGGTACCAAACAGTATCTCATTTACCTGATACTATCAAAGAATAAGACATTTCACAAAAGGAAAACAACTGAAACTAAACTACTTTCTTCTTCAAAAATTGTTCAAGCATAACATCTACTAATATGTATATTTTCTGCTGTATTATACATAATTATTTAAAGTTGCTTAAGCTGGTTCTGAGCCCACTAACTACTTTGTCAGCTTTCATTGGAGTCTGAACTGTAAACAGCAATTCCATCAGAAATAATGGGATCTTCTGAACTTTTTACATATGAAAAAACAGTTCCAGCTGCTAGGTTTCAAAATTTAAGAATCTGTGTGGGACCCCCTGTTCTTCTGTTCCCATCAGCATTTTCTAACTTCTTTCAAGAGTGTTTCCTCTCCTTGACTGTGTTTTTTCATCTGTATTTTCATAGTAAGCTAGGTATGGTGGTACATGATTACAATCCCAACATTTGGGATGTAGAGGCAGGAGGATCACAAGTTTGAAGCCAGGTTGGTCTATCTAGCCAGTGCCAGCCTCCAAGATAGTGAGGGATAATATAAAAAGACACTGCCTCAAAAATGTTTTTTAAACAGATTTTTATATGTATGCATGTTTTGCCTGCATTTATGTGTATGTGCCACGTGTGTCTGGTGCCCAAGAGACAGAAGGTATTAGATCCCCTGAAACTGTAGATGAGGACAGCTGTGAGCTGCTATGTGAGTGCTAGAACTAATCTGAGTCCTCTGCAAGAGCAGCAAGTACTCTTTATCACTGAACTATCTCTTCAGACACTCAAAGCTCATTTTTAAATGACTTAAGTCAAAATTATTCAAAAAACAATTTCTAGCTTTTTAAATTAAATGCATTGGGGGGGGGTCTAACACAATCTGTTATATATGTAGCAAATCAGCAACTGTTAAATAAAGAGGTGGTAGGGTTAAAAAAAGAACCAAAAATCTTAAAACAGAAATATACCAATTGGCCTTCATACTACACTTCTTTTTGTGTATACTAAAACACATTGGTCTATTTTTACAGCAAATATGAGAAATAAAAGTCCCTCACTAAAATTCTAGAAACATGATTAATAAGTCAAAAGTACAAAAAAATATTTATACCTGTAGACCAGATCTTTAGCATCTTATCCCAGGAGCCACTGCAAAACTAGATACATACGAAGGAGAAAGCATATGTAATAACTTGCATTATTTGTCCTCCACCCCCTCTTACTTTTGCTTTGCTTGTTTCATTTCTCTGTACACAGGCTCTGGAACCTTTACTACTAAATAATCATATAATTGGCTTCCAGTCTTTTGGAAGCTGTAGTCTTTATCTCCATGGCAACCAACTGCCATGCTTATATGCACTTGTTGTCCTGCACAGCTGCTTAGATCAAAGTGGGCAACTAACCTATACTACCACTAATAGATCTGTTCTGTTTCTAGAACCTTTATAAATAAATCCTGAGAAATGAAGTTAGACTTTTCCTAAGGGAAACAATAGATTTCCCCTCACCCTCAAGAGACAAATAGTACAGGATAACACTAGGAAGTATTTCATGTAGAGAAAACCAGAAAATGGTTCAAATTGAACAAAGGTGACTTGGGAACAACGGGAAGGTTGAGGTATACCAGCTACATTTTTACTCCAGAGGATTTTTGAAGCCCAAATGTATCATCACCTTCTTGTTCTGGCTTGTTCATTCTTTCTTTGGCTATCACAAATTTTCTCTTGAGCTTTAACAAATTGAAGATCAGTTTCTGCCCATGTATAAGCAAAATATACGTCTCCTAATTTCCTAGCCCAAAGACAAGAATGGTTAATTCATTTAAATCTATACTCAACAACATATAAACTCCCTGATAAATCATAAACCTTTATTTTTTACTGCATCAAACATTCTTTGTTACTCCAAGTTGCAGAACACTCTTAAATTCGGAATTATCCAATGCAGCAAAGGGAACTTGCAAAAGCTAAGGTTTGCAACCCTTCATAAGTCAATGAGGTTATTGTTTTCTGGTTTGTATCCATTTTGCTATAATAAAGAATAGGTCATGGTGGCTTCATGCCTGCAATCCCAGTACTCAGGAGACTGAAGCAGGCCAATTGACAGGTATATAAGGCCACATAGAATGATATAAGGAGAATTCCAGGACACCTAGGCTACAATAAGAACCTGCATCAAAATCAAAATAAGGGACTGAGCATTTAGTTCCTGTACGAGTACAAGATGTATGTCCACACCGACAAATAGGCTGTTAATATTAGCCTTAGTGTGCTAAGGCTTGGTTGTTACTAGTTTACTTGATTCTCCTCTCTCCCATTCTCCCCCACACCCTCTCCTGTGTGTGTATATGTAGCCCTGGTTGCCTGGAACTTACCCTGTAGAAGATGGTTAGCCTCAAACTCAAAGATCCATCTGCCTCTGACTCCCGAGTGCTGGGATTAAAGGTGTACACCACCACCGGTCTTAATCTAATTTTTAAAATGTAACTTATATACTATACTAAAGATAGATGTCTAGACTGAAGAAGTAAATCAAATAAATCTATCTTTTTATTGTATTTACTTTGGATCTAAAGTCTTAATTCTTTTTAGCCTCTTTTATGGAAGTTATATCACCATATATATGTGTACACACACACACACACACACACACACACACACACACACACACACACACACTTATTCAGTTGCTTAAATTCTAACTCAGCACAATAGTGGCAACACACTGACTACTCACTTTAGTTCCGGAGCTATTGACTGCTATAGAATCCACACTCCCAGCATGACCTCTGCAGCAGTGTAGGGCTTTCACTTTGTTCTTCTCCACATTCCATTCCCATAAGAGAATAGTCTGATCCATTGAAGCACTCAGTAATAAGCAGGATAAATTGTCTAAAGAAAAGAGAAAAACGAAATTAGTACAAACTCTTAACTGCATCTTATTTTTTATCATTTAGTAGTTTTGTGAATATTTTAAGAATAATCGGGGGGGGGGGGGGGGGGGGGGAAGAGAGGGGGCGGGGGGAAAACACAACAACATTTTTCAGAGGTCCCGAGTTCAATTCCCAGCAACCAACCACATAGTGGCTCACAACCACCTTGAATGAGATCTGGTGTCCTCTGCTGGCATGCAGGCAGAAGACTGTATACATAATTAAAAAAAAAAAATAATAATCAGATGGACTGCTTTTAAAAGAGTGCTATCATGGTAAGAAGAGAAAATTCTTAAAATATTAATTCTTGCCCTCTTTTCCTATCTTTCCTGCTGTTGCCCTGGGGCAGACAGGACTTTCCCTGCCTTCCTCTTCTCTTCTGTCCTCTCTCTATGTCTCTGTGTCTTTTTACCTCTTTTCTCCACCACCCCCTTTCCCTTCTAATAAAACTTCTCACAAGAAAAAAAAAAATTAATTCTTGCCACGGGTTGGTGACGCCCGTCTTTAATCCCAGTACTTGGGAGGCAAGGCATGTGTATTTCTTTGAGTTTGAAGCCAGCCTAGTCTACAGAGTGAGTTCCAGGACAGCCAGGGCTACAGAGACTTAAATCATTTTTCACTTAAGATTCCTTTTAAGTAGAATCCTACCTTTTTTCACCCAAGCCACATCTTTCACAACATCTGTATGTCCCACAATTGTCATTATTGACTTTCCTTCCAAGGACCAGATCCGAGAAGTCTTATCATAAGAACCAGACAGGATCCTACAATGGGAAAACAATGCTATGAAATATAAAAAGATGACGTTTGAAGACCTGAAAATCAATTGTTTCTATGGCAATGGCAAAGTAAACTTTGGAGAGTAAACTGTATGTAATATGAAGAACAAAATTTCAAAGCATAACGACAGCTCACATGTCACACTAATTTTCTGAACCACTAAAACAATATAAGATTTCACTTTTATTGTTGTAAATGCTATAAATTTCACCAAAGCAATACAAACTGTGTATAAAGCCTAAAACTCTGTAATTAACCACTGAAAAACAGGGATGAGATGTAGCTCAGTAGTCAGTAAGCAGAAATCTCTCAATCTGATGTCCAGTACCACACACAGACGGAGATACACACAGACACATACATACCCCACAATACCAAAGCAAAAGTGAAAATCACAAATAAAAGAAAAACCAAGTAAGGAATGGTGGACCAGACCTTTAATCCCAACACTTGGGAGACAGAAGCAGGAGGATCTCTCTCCACCTGAGGCCAGCCTGGTCTACATAGGAAGTTCCAGAACAGCCAGGACTACCTAGGGACATACTATCTCAAACAAACAAACAAACAAACAACACACACACACACACACACACACACACACACACACAAAACCCTACCTTTGTATAATAATTCCAAGTACTTATTCTTTGGAATAAGTAAGCTTCAGGATGACAAAATGGCTAAACAACAATAAAGCACTTTCTGCAAAACCTAATGATCTGAGTTCAATCCCTAGAACCCATGTAAAGATGGAAGGCAAGAACCAACTTCACAGAGCTGTCTTCTGACTGCCACACATTTATACACAAGTGCAATGTCACGAAACCCACACAACAAAACACATAATAAATAAAAATAAAATGCCCCCCAAAAGGAAAGACAGAAGTAAGCTACCCCTTTGATCAACTTCTAAGGTGGTGTTTCTGTAAGTAAAGCCAGTTAGGATCATGATCAGTAGTAGCGATTTGCTTTAAGACGGTGGTTCTTGCTGGGTGGCGGTGATGCTCGATTTTAATCCCAGCACTTGGGAGGCAGAGACTGGTAGATCTATGTGAGTTCAAGGCTAGCCTGGTCTACAGAGTGAACTCCAGGACAGGCTCCAAAGCTACAGAGAAACCCTGTCTGGAAAAAAAAAAAAAGACAGTGGTTCTTAACCCATGGGTCTAGACCCCTTTGCAGGTTACATATCAGATATCTTGCATATCAGATATTTACATTGCGATTCAAAACAGCAACAAAAATTACAGTTATGAAGTAGCAATGAAATAATCTTATGGTTAGGGGTGGGGTCACAACAACATGAGGATCACAGCATTAGGAAGGTTGAACCTCTAATCTAAGACACCGATACCTCTTTGACTCCAGGATGCCCTGTTAGCCCTAAAGTAGCATGTTTGAATCTTCATGGCAGCAGGTAGGGAGATCTGTGGCCATAAAAATTATTTTTTCTCCTCTATGAAGCAGTGTGTATCTCTGGTCTTAAATATCAATGACTGATGACTTATACAGAATACAAATATCACAACATTTTGTTGCCTTTCTTTTTTCCCCCATGACAGGATTTGTTTCTCTGTGGCTTTGGAGGCTGTCCTGGAACTCGCTCTGTATACCAGGCTGGCCTTGAACTCACAGAGATCCACCTGCCTCTGCCTCCCAAGTGCTGGTATTAAAGGTGTGTGCCACCAACGCCCGGCTCATATCACAACATTTTGAAACAAAGAAAATCTAATAATAAACACTTGCTTTCTTCTTGAATACACCAACTGCAAAAGCCTGTTTTATTATGGTCACCAATACACATAGCACAAAGTTGATTTTATGAAGAAAAAGGAATCAGAGAGAAACAGTCACACTGTGGATGACAAAGACTAAAGGATGTACATAAGAAAACAAAAAGCAGGTTGGAGAGATGGCTCAGAGGTTAGGAGCACTGACTGCTCTTCCAGAGGTCCTGAGTTCAATTCCAAGCAACCACATGGTGGCTCACAACCATCTATAATGAGATCTGGTGCCCTCTTCTGACATGCAGAGAGAACACTGTATACATAATACATATATAAATCTTAAAAAAAGAGAGAAAGAAAATAAAAAGCACATTCCCGTTGCATACCATTCTTCTGCCCCTTCAATTGAGCTTATCCAGTCATCATGGAACATGCATTGCTCTGGCTGGGGTGCCGTGTATTTTTCCACGTATTCTAGTTCCACAACCTCTTCCTAGTCACACAGAGACAGAAAATAAATCAGGGGACAGTTTTCAAATATTACTTTGAAGACAGAAAATTTGGGAGCCATTTACAAAGTCAAGATTTTCTTTGACCTCACATTAAGCTAAGAATATAAAAATTAGTAGACTTAAAGAAACTTATATTAAAAGTAGAAATAAAATGAGAGCTCTTAAAAGTATTTAGTTTTATTTTTAATTATGTGTATATGTGTGGGCATGTGCACAAGCATTTGAGTGTAATCTAGAGGCATCATATCCTCTGGAACTGGAATGTGGGTACTGGGAACTGAACTCAGATACTCAGGTCTGGAAGAGCAGCAAGCACTCTTAACCACCGAACCTTTTCTCTAGCTCGCAAAAGGAGAGCTTTTATGTAAGAAAATATATTTAGATAAACAAGCATTTTTCAATGAGGGAGGAGTATCTGTTCAGGATGATCAAAGAGTTCTGGAAGTGGGTAGTGGTGACAGCTGCACAGCACCGTTACTTCACATTAATGAGCCGTACACTTAAAAAACAGCTAAAATGACATTTGCTCTTACATATATTTTCAAATCACAAAATAGAGGGGAAATTACAAGATATATTCTAAATAATTTATTACTATTGTGTGTATGTGCGTGTGTGTGTGTGCGCGCGTGTGCCTCCGTGCATTCCACAGTGTACATGGAGGTCAAAGGACAACTTGCATGAGTTTGCACTCTCCTTCTACCATGTGGGTCCTGGGGATGAACTCGGGTCATCAGGCTTCATGGTTATCACCTTTACTCAGTCAGCCATCTTGGTGACTCCAAATATTCCCTTTTTAAAAAAAACCTTAGACAGGGTCTCACTAAATAACCCTGGTTAGCCTACAACTCTTACGTAGACCAGGCTGGCAAACTTAAAGGTATACACCATTACTCTTGGCTCTATTCTTTTTGTTTTAGATTTTATTTTTATTTTGTGTGTATAGGTATCTTGCCTGTATGTATATCTGTGTACCGTGTGTGTGCAGTTATCCAAGGAAGCCAGAAGAGGGAGTCAGATCTCCAGGGACTGAGTTATAGCTCTTGGCAACCATGTGGGTGCTAGAATTGAACCCAGATCCTCTGGAAGAGCAGTCAGTGCTTTTAACCACTGAGTTACATGTCCAGCTACTGTTGATAGTCTTAATTATAAAAACAAAGAAGAAGAAAGTTTAAAAATTACAGATCGAGTATCACAATCACTATAAATAACCTAGCCCACATTTTTCTGAGATGTGTGCAATTTTGCTCTACTCCTGTTTTATTAGTATACATACACTTGTTATTCCTTTTCCTACCCATGCTTTCACAAATTAAAGACTATATTAATTCATTTTCTTGAATAAAATATTCTTAGAAGGGGTCTAAAAGATGACTATATAGAAACATAAGTTCAAATTTCTGGTGTGTGAGTAGAGGCACTAGCAAGTCCAAGGTCCAGGACCCACAGGAGAGAACTGACTCCCATTCTCCCACTAATTGTTCTCTGACCTTCACAGGCAGGCTGTGGTACCTCACGTACCATATAATAAGTAAATAAGTAAATGTAATTTTAAAATGTTTTCTAAGACTCAAAAACAAAACACTCTCTCTCTCTCTCTCCCTTCCCCCCCCCCCCCCCTCCCTTCCGCTATCCTGTTCCCCTCTCTCCCCTTCCTTATCCTTCCCTTCCTCCCTTCCCCCTCCCTTGCTTATAACAAACCCAAACAAACCCAAAATATTCTTGGGCGTTGAAAACAATTTAGGCTGATTCTATAAGCAGTTACTAAAAAATATTTAGTAATGAATTAAATCAAATATAAGCAGTTCTTGGACTTACCGATGAAATGTTTTCCAGTTCCATGTGTTTGACCAAGGGCATGCGAAGAAACTGGCCCCTGATAAGGAAATCAAACTCGACATGTTTGTGGAGCTCTGCAAAAGAGTAATATCAGTGATATTAGGAATATCAGTGCCATATGTACAAAAACTCTGGAGCTATCCCATCCACAGTGCCCATTGCTGTCCCAGTTGCTCCACAACTCCTCATGGCACATCTAGCATACTGAATGATTTTGGGTTTTTGGTTTTTTTCAAGACACGGTTTCTGTGTGTAACAGCTCTGTAGACCAGGCTAGCCTCGAACTCACAGAGATCTGCCTGCCTCTGCCTCCCAAATCCTGGGATTACAGGTGTGCACCACACAGCTGATTTTTGTTTTTCTGAGATAGGGTCTTTGTCTGGGAACTCACCAAGTAGACCAGGCTAGCCTTGAACTCACAGAGCACTCTGCCTTCTGAGTGCTTTGATCAAAGTTAAGTACAACCATGCCATTCGGCTACATGATTTCCAAAGAACTAATATATTTTGTTCTGTTGATTTACGCTTGGTTTCATGGTGGTGTAGTTATTTAGGGGCCTGGGGGTTCAACCCAGATTATATGCATGCAAAGCACATGTTCTACCACTGAACTAACTACAACCCACTAATCTCATTTATTCTTGTTTTAAGACTGGTTTATTGAGTACACTACAAAATGGCAACAGGTTAGACAATAGCTTGAATACCACCTGAAGTCCTTTATCTAATTTTTAAAAAGCTTTTGTTCTACAGAAAATTTACAATATATACAAAAGTATAAATAACAGTGAACACACTACTCCAATACTAAACAACTCATCAATAATTTCTATTCTTGTCTCCATTTTCTAGGTAGCTTCTTTTAAAGCAATCAGAAATCACACCACTTCATTTGTAAATGACTTTATTATGTATGTATCACTAAAATATAAGGATTTAAAACACAATGTTAACTATGCTACTATCAAATATGCAGTCACTATTCATGTGGATTTTTAAAAATTAATTTAACTTATAATTTGAAACTGTGTCTTACTGTATAGCCCACACTGGCTTCAAACTCACTACCACAGACCATGCTAGCCTCTAGAGAGGCTAGACAGATGGATAGAGTTATCTTCAACTCATTGTCTCAGTTCCTAGAGCACTGGAATTGCATGCAGGTGTATTCCATCGTGTAGGTTTTATAGAGTAGGCTTTTAAAAGCCAGCACCTAACTGGTTAGTGCGTTTCTTCAATCTTTAAAAAGTCCCTCTCCTTTTAATTGTCATTTCTTCATTGAGGAAAATGGGTCAACTATATTTCTTACATTCTGGGCTTGGTTAATCATATCTCCAAAGTCTCTTATAATTTTTTAAGTTTATTTTTATTATTACCTTGTGTATGTATGTTATGATGTGTGTCTGAAGGTATGTGTGCCATATCACCTATGTGGAGGTCAGACGACAACTTTGTGTAGTTGGGGTCTCTCCACTTTGACTTGGGCTGTGAGGATTAAACTTGGGTCACCAGGCTTGCGCCATTGGACAGCAAGCATTTTTAGCTAGCCCTACAGAGCATCTTTAATATGTTCCTCTATCCTCTACTATATCATGTAAATTAGTGATCCCTAAATGATTGGTAAGACTTCAGGTTTTCCAGGTGGTGGTGGCTCATGCCTTGGATAGAAGCACTCATGAGGCAGTGTCAGGCAGATCTCTGTGAGTTCAAAGACAGCCTGGTCTATGAATGAGTTCCAGGACAGTCAGAGCTGTTATACAGAGAAACCCTGTATCAAAAATAAATAAATAAATAAATAAAATGATAATAATAAAAAAAAGACCAGGTTTTCTACCACATCAACATGAATACATTAACTAGTTCTGTTCTTTTTTTTGCCTATGTGTGTGAGCACACGTGTGTGCATTAAGTGTGGAAGTTCAAGGCTGATGTTGAATTTATTTCTGGCTCACTTGTCACCTTAAATATTAAGGCAAGGTCTCACTGAACCCACAGCTTGTTGTTTCGCTAGTGTGGCGGGCCAGCTTGTTCTACAGACCCCCATCTCTACTTCCAATGTGCTGAGATTACAGGCCGGTTACCAACCAACCTGCCCTTTATATGGGGCCTAGAGATCTGAGCTGGTCTTCATGCTTTCACATAAACACTTTACTCAATGAGCCATTTCTCCAGCCCTAATTTTTCTTTCTTATAATTTTTTTATTTTGTGAGCATTGGTGTTTTGCATGCATTTATGTCTGTGTGAGGATGTTGGATCCTGAAGTTACAGACAGTTGTAAGCAGAGGCAGGTGGATCTCTGAGTTTGAGGCCAGCCTGGTCTACAGAGCAAGTTCCAGGACAGCCAGGGTTATAGAGGGAAACCATGTCTCAAAACAACGAAACCATATTTATGTATAGCAGGTGGCACTGTGCCCTCTCCTAACATCTTGGAACATATATACCTACCATTTTTGGTGTCCAGCAATTTATTGATGATGTTACTAAGGTCAGCAACTTCAGAGGCAGCAGGGATTGAGAAAGGAACATCATCTATTGCATATCTACAAAAGGGAAATGATAGGTCAGTATTATGTCTACAAATACTTTGGCAAATCTGCATTTATTCATTCAACAACTATTTACTGGGTACTACATGCCAGATATTTGCTACAAGGCATAAACAAAATGAAGTAAGGTGTCTTTATTCTTAAAGAATCAAGCAGGCACTCATGAGGCAGAGGCAGATGGATCTCTGAATCTGAGGCCAGTCTGGTCTACATAGAGAGTTGCAGGGCAGCCAGAGCTACACAGAAAAACCCTGTCTCGAAAAACAAACAAAACAAAACAAAAAATCATGCACAATCAAACCCTGTGAACACGGTGCCATAAATGATGTTGCTATCAGAAATAAGTCACTTCCACCAGAGAAAAGGGGTGGAAGTACAGGATCCAAAAAGGATGTACAGAAAAGATCATTCTTAAGCCACAGCTACAAAAAGTGATGTTGTCCAGGTAAGGGAGGGATAGCCTGGAAATGAGAATGTGGTAAAGTAAGAAGAGCAGACCAAAGGAGCTTGCTCCTATTTCAGGCAGTGATTTTGCTTTATGCAGTGTTCCAAAGTGAGACTAAAGACATATAGAGTGTTTTAAATACCATATACTATGTAATGATTTTTAATTCTTTGTGTAGGCAACAAGGAATCACTGTAGCAGTCCAAGTTAAAGAATAACACAGTACTTTGTTTAGTTAGATCTTTATAGCTGTGCAGAGTAGATTAGAATAATATATGACCAGAGGCAGAACACAGACTCAAAAAGAAATAAGAAAATATTTGCAAATCATTAAGGTCATCTTTTAAAGGGCAAGGGATTTGAATAGATAGTTTTCTAGAGAAAGAGCAATGACTAACAGGCATAGTACCAAACCACAATGAATATCACTTCACACCCATTAGGATGCAAACAAAGTGATGGTGAAGACACAGAGGAAGAGGAACCCTCATCAACTGATGGTGGTAATAGAAAATGGGGTAGTTACTTTGGGAAACAGCATGGCAGTTGATCTAAAAGTTACATGTGGACTTACGTGACCCAAGAACTACACTTTTAAGTATGCACCAAAGGGCAATGAAAACCATGTTCACTGGGCATGGAGACATGGGCCTTTATTCCCAGCATTTGGAGAAAGGCAAAGGCAGGTGGACCAGTGGGTCTGTGGTCAGCCTTGGCTACACAGTGAGTTCTAGGTCAGCAAGGGCTACACAAGTTCACATACAAAATATACACTAAGGCTTACACAGCCACTATTCACAATAGCTAAAACAGTGAAACAACCTAAATGTCTAACTGGACAATAAGAGGAAATGAGCAATACAATGAACTATTTAGCCATAGAATTAATGAGGTATTATGATATTCTACTTTATGGTTAAACTATAAAAAACATAGTAAGCAAAACATGCCAGCCACAAAAGACCACATAGTTTGTATAACTTCATTATACAAAATGTCCAGAATGGACACACACACAGAGATAGACGGTAGGTAGGTTAAGTAGTTAACTTGGGTGGGGAGGATTTAAGGGACTGAGTGATGGATTTTCTTTCTAAAATAGATTGGGTGGATGTTTGTACAATTCTAATATGATGCACCTGAATCTCAACATTTGCCATCTATATGACTTATTTACATATAAACACATAAATACACACATACACACATACACACACACACACACACACACACACACACACACAGTCCTGGTTAGTTTTGTCAACTAACAGAAGCTAAAGTCATCTAAGAGGGAACTTCAATTAAGAAAATGCCTACATCAGATTGGCCTTCAGGCAAGTCTGTGGGAGCATTTTCTGGATTAATGACTGATGTAGGAAGAAGTGCCATCCCTGTCTCAAAAAAGGCAGCATTCCTCCATGGCTTCTGGTTCAGTTCTTGGCTTCCTCTAATGATGACTGTAACCTGTGAGCCAAGTAAACCCTTTCTTCCCCACGCTGCTTTGGGCCATAGTGTTTGATCACACTAAGTAGGACATACACACATAACACACCTAGTGAAGTCAGTAACTGAGCTGACTTCATAGTAATAAAAAAAAAAAAAAAAACAGCTCTAAGAACCCTATATCCAGAGATCCAGTTTCTATAGTGGTTGAGAAGAGCAAATGAAGAGACACCATTAACAGACAGCCTGTAAACAGACCTGCCACTGCTCATCCCTCAAATAATAAAACAGTGTGTGCATCATTCAGATTGCAAACTCGGAAACCCTGTTCCCTCCACTCACATATCAAGAGCTCACGAAAGTGGGTAGAAAAACGGCGATTCAGGAAGCCAGCTAAGACGTGTCCACCGTCTGCAAATGGGCGGGCGAATGAAGTTCTTCTTCATTTTTAATTTTTGTTTCTACCCGCCTTGTCTGTTACTTCTTCAATGTGTATTCCTAGTCAAAACCCCAAGGACTACCAGGGACTACGAGGTCCAAACCGAAGGGGTCTTAAAACCAACAGCCCTGGGGAAGGCAGGGACAGGAGCGGAGACCGTCACTTACTTCTTGTTCTCGGTGTAGAAACGTGCCTGGAGTTGTGCCATGGCGGAAAGGACGCGCGAGACTTCTCCACAAAAAAAAATGTACGCGCTGACTGACAACCAAGCAGCTCCAAAAGCGCGGCGGAGGGCAGGCTTCCTCGGGTTCCCTCAGACCACGCCACGAGGTTGCCTTCCCACGGGCGCCCAGCCCGTACACATCGACGGCCTATTCCGAGATTTAGCAAACATCGAAAGTAAAGCACCGTCTTGAGAGCAGCCACTCCCCTTAATTCTTGTACGTTTCTCACTATCGATTTAGATCCGAAATCGACGAGGAAGACAGGGAAAAGAACTAACGAGCCTGACTCTTTTCAAGGCTGCCCTCAGGCTGGACGCGTTAGACTCAGCTCCGATACTACAAACCCCAGAAGGGAGCGCGATGCAGACGCTCTGAACACTGGGAGTTGTAGGTTCTGGTTATCCACTTAGCCACCCCGCACTCAGGCTCCCTCATCTGCTTTTGAACCTCCCTTCCCCGGCCAGATATTCCGTCTCCTGCTCCTTAACTCTGGGCGACAAAGGCCCCACCTGCTTGTTTTCTATGCCTCGTTCCAACACCCGCCCGACTCAGCGGAGACCATGTGTCCTCACCTCAGGCTGCCGAGCGGAAACACGGAAAAGGAGTTGAACGAATCGGAAGGGAACTGAGCGACGGTG